AACGAGCTATTGCCATGCTAGGTGCAGGCTGAATAAGCTTAAGTTCTCAAAAAAGTTGTTTTAGCTTGTCAGAAAAGTTATCAGTCTGCAGGTATCATTACACAATACAAGTCCCCATCCCCACCAAAAAGCTGACTTCTGTGTCCATTCCTCCCCTGTGCTACTGCTGGGTAGACATAAATGGACAGACATTTAAAGGCTATCCTGGAAACAAGAGTGCCACAACCAAAACGGGTTAAGGATAATGAGTTAGGAACCCAAGCGCAGCACTACTCCAGTCTACAGCATGGCCTCATGAACAGTGACATATGGACACCTAGGGGAAAGGGGCAGGATACCACAAAAACAAGGGGAGAAGCAAAATATCTTAAGCAAGATGTAGAAGAAGAAACATCACTGCATCCCATGGCAGTCATCCATGAAGTGCACGTGGGGCAATTTCAACCTGCTGCTTCAGAAAGGGGAAAGTCTCACACCCTTCTCTTTTTACTTGCATCTTTCCTGTAGGCCACGTGTTCCTGTGGCTCTCCTCATTTCAGAGCCTGCCCAGCAAACCAGTTGTCTCACTAAACCAACAAAAAGCTAACCCAGAAAAGAGACCATGCGCACAAGCAAAATTCCAGGTAGTTTCTGATGAAACACAGATCTGGCGCAAAGGAGGGAGCAAAAGAGAGATCATGCAGCTGGAAGGAGAGACAGGAAGGGGAGCAAGATCTTCCCCTCTCCTGAAAGGAGCCATGACGACTGCTCAGCTGCATGTGCAACCAGCTCTTCAGCATCAGCAGCTCGGTATCACTCCAGGCAGACGACAGCACACAGATACTGATATTCAACCCTGGCGAAACTGTGACGACTGAATTTAGGCACAGCCTCTCTCAAGTAACAGTTCAGAGTTGTAACTAGCTCAAGACCTCAGCTCTCACAAATAACTCATTTTTTAACTACTAAACTGGTTATCTGTTATATTTCTGCAATTTTCAGTTGTTTATTAAAGTTCAGGTATACTAAATCATCTCTCAGACTGGCCAGGCATTCAGCTTAAAAAAAAAAATCAACAGTTTAATCTTCAGCAGCTAGCCCTGCTTTGTTTTTGCTGCACTTTTAATAAAGAACAAAAAGAACGGAGGTTGTCCATTGTTGAGGACTGCTCTGCAACACAAGGCAGGCTGGCTCACTTCCTTCCTTCTCTGAGTCAGCTTCTCCCACGAAAGTAACCCAGCACCCATCTGCTCCCAAAGCTGGAAATGCTGCTAGGCTGGGCAGTTTAGGACAGCTGGTGAAGCAGAGTTAAATCACAAGCCTGAAAAACTCTCCCCGAGAGCTTCATATACTCACACTTGTTTTAATTTTAATTTTTTAAGAGGAATAAAGGGCACATAATCTTCCTCTGAAGGCTGCAGAGAGTTTTGGGAGGATAGCATGCTTCCCTTTTCCTCTTCTGAGAGAGGAAGCTGCAATTAAAGAAGCCTGCAGGACAGAGGATAACAGTGAGGATGAAGCAAGCATCTGCATGTTTGGTCTTGGCAAAACCTCAGCAGAAAAATGCTAGAATCTATCCCGAGACATGCATGGGAGCATGCTAGAACTATGCGACTGACTTCTACCGAGAACATTTCTTTGATACACCAACCCATTTTCTCTTCCCTTCCCACACACCTTTGCAGCCAAGCTGGAATCTTTTAGCATCTCAAACTGATGACAGTAGGTGAGGGAGGGAAATGAACAACTTAAATTATCTCAAGGAACAGTAAACACAATCTTTTAATCCCAGCTAGTTTTACTTAAGTAGTTTTAAAGCTGGAGAACAAAGAACTGCTGCAAAGCATGAGCCTTGCCAAGAGCAGCTCGGCTACAGCCTCACTTGGATTTGTAAGTGCTTTTAAAGGCTTTCCTTAAGATAAAGGCAAACAACTTTGCAGACAGAGCTAGAGGCAACCATTTTCCTCACGCTTTGCCATTACAGGCAGCCTTGAGAAGGGATTAGGCCACATCCTGGCTCTCTCAGCTCTTCGGGACACGATTTCCGACAGCGCACAGGCTTCTGGAGAAGGCAGGCATAAACAGCAGGTTAGGTTCAGAGCGCTGAGTAACACCATCTACTCTGCTGACACTCCCAGAGTTTTCAGTCTGGTCAGCTACTTTTTGTTAACTATAAAGGTCTTTAATCATACAAACGAAACGAGCAGAGATGAGCTAGGATCTAGTGCCTCAAAACTAGACCAATATCCCATGATAAGAATTTACATCAGTGTTTAACTACAGCGCAAAAAGCATAAGACATGCCTGAAGCACAAAACAGCGTCCAAGCAGTAGCAGGCGCTCTATACATGAGACAAAAATAGAAGCTACAAAGCAGCAAGAGAACATGCTTAGCGGGTGTTTTTCCTCTCGACTGTACTCTAAACCAAGAGCGTCTTATGAATTTGATTTTCACAGGTTGCTAGTCTGCCTGTTCTTTTTCCAGAAAACTTATTTTAGTAGTCAGCTAATGACAGAGTCTTTTCCTTGCAAAAAAGTAGGGGTTTTTATTATTTTGTCCCCAAAATAATAGCTTTTCTAATCAAAAGAAGATTATTCCCTTTTAAATCCAGTTACCTCTAGCTTTACACGTATTCACAAGTTATCTGAATTGTTTTTTAATTTTTTCTTCCAGTAATTACCCTACATCCTTTGCAGAACGGTACCATATGCCAGAAGACAGTCAGAAAGATTCACAATAGAAAGCGCCAACAGTTGCTCAGCGTTGACATGCCTAGGGTTAACGTACGCAGCGCTAACAAAGCGCTACATGCATCTCCTGCATTCCACAGGCCTTTGTGCAGCTGCTGTTGAAGTCATGGCACAATGGCTTTCACAGCAGCTAAGCGCAATGTTACCAGTCACAAGCCTACTCTTCGAAACTACTGTTACTGATATAAAGTTGTAGTGCCTATAAAAGGCCTCAAAGCCTTCAGATATTTAACTGCAACTCCAGGATCATTGCGGTTCTAGGACTAAGGAATTGCAAACATTACTGAGAACTAAAGTTATACCCTGCAGGGTATAACAGTCAATCAGCAATGGACAGAAATGTTTCAGTTCTACCTTAGGAAAATTCAAGGGAAACAATAACATTAAATTCCCCTGAATGGAGAAAATTAGCTATAGGGCAGGTCTCAGTAACAGAGAGTTGTTTTATAAGTGGCATTCACCAAAAATACTAGGCATGCTGGTCTCATAAGGAAACTGAGTACATTAGACACATGGGGAACATGGAAAGCTGTCTTGTTCTGCTTTCCTAGTTTTCTTCTGAGTAACTGCAGCTGTTTATCCAATTACTGCCTAATCTTTGAGAGGCAGCCAGGTGGACTGGGTTGGCAGCTCACCTCAGATATTTAAAGCAGAGACTCATCCTTCGGCAGCCAGCTGAAGGAGGCCAGGAAAATGGTTACAGGCAGTTAAATATATCTATACACCCATAGACACACAGAAAGATTTACTTGACTAGTATAGAAAGAAGGAAAGGTCTGGCCTTAATCCAGGCCCTCCTGTAATTTTTTTTCTCATCACTCTTGACATTTTCTTCTTTCCCCAGGTTTACAGACCTCTTCACACCCCTTCTGCTCTCTGCCTCTAGATCAGATACCCACTGTGTCAGCCCCCACATCCTCTTGATTATTTAAAGCCTATACCATGAGTTAAGAAGAGTAGACAGCCTATAGCAGGAGTAGTACTGGCTTGCGTACACATTGCTTTTCCAGCATTAAAGAAGCGGGAAAAATTAAGGGACAACATAACGAACCAATACGTCGCTAGAGGACACAGTGTATAAAGCTAGACGCTCATTAGCGGAACTCTTCCTAATGGCTAGCTATGGTTTTCAGATATAAAGTTAATCCAACCCCTTCTTTAACAGTATCACAAACGAGGTCCTGTGTACTATGACAGCCGCTGCTGGAAGGTTGCCAAATGAGCCTAGTTCTTATTCAAGTTGATGGGCGCTTTCCCCATGGACATCATTGACTGTAGTAGAGTAGGAAGCATCAGCTGAAACTGCAGATGGCAACGCTATTTCCAGTCACACTACTTCCTGTATATGTAGGCACCAAATATTCATCCTAGACAAATTTCAACTGTTTGATGTGACAGGGAGTGCAAGATCCCCAACTCTCTATCCCCTCCACACTTGCAGCCAGTAAAGACAAAATGTTTGTAGAGGCATTACCAGGAATCTGCTCCCACGTTGATGTTCCCACCCCTGGTTGCCTGTGAACCCTAAAAAAAAATTCGCTTGTGGTGATCTAGGCTACACCTTGGCAAAGCGCCACCCTTTCAGATACAGGATTAACCTCAAGCGCGGTGAGAAAGTTCAAATATAACTCGCTGGTCAAAGACAGTTTTTGGTACATTCATTCTGAAGAGTCTAAAAGAAAATGTCTTCACAAGAAATCAACCAATTGCAGGGGAGGTAAGGGCCTCCGAGGGCATTTCTAACTGTTAAATGCTTGGTATCAGTACCTAATTATGATAAATACAATCTTGATTCCAATAAGAGTTTTAGTTCTTTGAACTAAAACATAACTCAAGGAAAGTGAAGGTGCAGGAACTTTTAGCCCTCCAATCACAAGGGATCAGTTTTAGCCCAAATGAAGCATCATCAATACACACCACATCCTAGCTGTAAGTGGCTCTAACACATGACTACAATTTTATTAGCTCTTCAAGCAGGAACCTGTGGGAAACACCTCACAGTGGCTTTGCCCAGTACCGCTTGTGTCCTCAGTATTAATTACCTTGCGGTCCCCTATGAGATCTGGGGCTCCAGGTCCCACGGGTCTTCCTAACGTTTCAAACAATTATTGCCTCCAGAAAGTCACAACCACTAACTAACATTCACACATTTAAGTTTAACAAGTGTCAACCTCAGCCTCAAAGGAAAGACAAATTCAAACAAACAGTGAAATGTAGATTAACATACAAAAAAGATTTTCATGGGAAGCATTAGTCCAGCAAGCACTCACCTGATACCAGAGGCAAAGTTATGTTTCAAACTGTGTTAAGAGATCTCTTATTTCTGGAGTCAGATGCTCCACTGCCTTTGCAGCTTCTGTGATAGCTTTCCGATACATCCCTTTCTTCTTGCGATTAAATCTCAGTTTGAAAAATTCAGAGAAAGGAGAGAGTTTTGAAACAGATAAGAACGAAGTCGTTGGAGAACCAAACCATGATACTTTAGCTTCTCGCCATGAAGGTTCCCCATTTTCCTTCTGGCTAAGGTTTATGTCAAGAACACGTGCCGGCCACCATGGAAAACCATGAATTTTACCCCAAACAATATCCCCCACTGAAACAGTTCTTCCATCTTCAGTGACACATTTAGACACACTTTGTGTATGTAGTCTAACTGTTAACGGCGGCACAATTTTACGCTCATCTTTTGAAGATGAGGAGACAGACGCATCATCACCAGGTAAAAAGTCACACATTTCTGGTGATGTTACTTCTGAACTAGAAGACTTGGATTCATCTAGACTGTCGTTACTACACACGGATAAGCTAGAAGAATCTGCTTTTCTTTTACGATAATTCATAAGGAAAGTCAAGTTATCATGTCCATCTTTACCTTGGGGAAATCTTTTAAAGTCCTCATCTTCACCTGAACTCCCTGAAGATATCTCAGCTAAACTTCTGTCTGTGGATTCATCATTATAAAACGCACCAGGATTGGACTCCCCGCTGTTCTGAAGGACATTTATCTCATCAATAAGTTCTGCTTTATAAATTGAAACACTCTGACCATCATTTATTCGATGGGGCTTCAGTCGGATCTTTGGAGGTGGAACATCTGCACCGGAATGCACAGGCCGCGTGAGCTTCAGTTTTGGAATGGAAGCAAGCTGGCTGCCTGCTGACTTGTCCATTAAACATTTGGTTTCTCGACATCGTTCAGTGTCTCTAGTCTCTTCTTGGTCCTCCTCTCCATTCTGCAATAGTCGCTGCGGACAAAATGGTTTGACTGAGCCATGAACTCGGGAAGGAATTTTTACAACTTCACCTTTCCCTTGTGGAGTACTGTAGGATATTTTTATAACTGGCGTTCGATGCACTAGTTCCCCAGAAAACTTGTCTTCCTCTCTCTTTTCTCTTTTGTTTCTTTTCTCAGTGTAGTCAGAGTCACTGTGCTTTTTCTGCTCTTTGTCCTGAATGCTCAGCTTCCTCCTTGTTTTAGCATTTTGCCTAGCTGTGTTTGTATCCTCGGGGTTCAGAGTGTTTTTACACTTTTCACAGAGCACCTGTCTTGGCCTCAGTCTGATAGTGCTCATGATAAGCCTTCCCGGGTCTCTATTCCGTGACAAACGTCTCCTTGTCCTCTTTATAGTCCGTGGCGGTGGCTGAGGAACCCACTGGTTATACGTGTGCCGAAGCCACAGTGGACGAGGAAAAGGAGCTCCCTCAAAATAAGGAGGGTACGGAGGAAGGTTGCCGGGCGGTGGGGGAGGCAGAAGAGGTGGTACTTGCTCATCACTGTTTCCTTTGGGAGGCTTTTCAACAGCAGGCTGTGACTCAGCCTCACCCTGCACGGGATCTCGGCCTTCAGGAACCCAGTTAGCGCAAGCATTAGCAGGAGGCTCCTCTTGCTTCGGAAGGGAAGACGGAAGACAAAACAATCCGGACCTAAAACAGCGTGAAAAGGACAGGGAGGGAAAGAGACAGAGTCAGAATGTTTGAAAGATACTTCTCGGGGAAAACGCTGCATAAAAAATACGCTATTTTCTTTAAAAACAGACTTCCACGTGCTAATAAGGCAACATTTTCCCTTTACTTTTACGACAAGGCAGACAATTCTGTCACTGGAAAAAAAACAACACAACAGCATTTAAAATTTAGGAAAGGTAACCTACTCTTCTGCCAGAAAGGGCACAGAGAACAACAGATCAAAATCTCTACTTCCATGAACTCTTTGCACAGACTAAGAAGTTTTGCACTAAGAAGTTATACTCTAGCAAAGCAGTTTACTCTATCAGCAGGCTGGTAAAGCCAGAAGGAGAGATTTTTGGGAGTTAAAGTTCCTTTTTTCATACTGTACTTGCATGGCTAATTTTTCAGCTCCTCAGTCAACATGTGAACAACCGGACTTGGATGTATAACTTGCACTTTCAAACCAGAGGTTTCCCAGTACACAGTCTTGATCCTCTCCCATTGGCCTTTGCCTATATAATCTTTATTTGTTCAAAAAAGGAACATGCCATTACTTCAGAATATGAAGATTATAAATCACGATGTATTATTGTCCATTGCCAAGTTTCATTATAGGCTATCAAAGTATTGCACAGGTATCGATAAAAGCAAATCCTCTGCAACACTGAAACTCATAATCGTGACTCACGTCTTCAGGTTTCTGCACCAAAAGTTATGCTGCTGGCCTGACACTAGGGATGTTATGCTAACATAGTACTTCAACAAATATTTACCCTGAAACACCCTCTCAGAATGGACAATGCTCACTGTCTTGGCTTTCCAGAAACACTGCTTATCTACAGAACGGGCCACCCAAAAAAGTGTTTTGCCATTACAGACCAAACACTAGTTAGTTTTAGTTTAGGAAACTACAGTCCCCTCCCTCACTAGCCATCTTTTCTCCTTTCAGCTACAAAAAAGTACCTCTCCCCAGGCAGAGGAGGAGTTCCAGGGTAGCGTTACAGAGAAGGACTTTAGCAACCGTTACCCCGGACGGCACAGAGGGAAGATGAAGGAATTCTTTCAATCGCTCTTCTCTTAACAAGAAAGCAGCATAGCAAAACCACTCAGGTGACAGAGCCTGCTGCGAGGAGACGCTTCCTTCCGACTCCACCGGACCGCGCTGGCTCGCTCCTCTCCTGAGAGCGGCCTACTGACCCCATCCAGGCACTTGGGCCTCATGACTGCGCTTCTTCCCCAACTCCATCCTCAAGCTGGATCACTTTACTGTAGGAATATCCTAGGCTACTGCAAACGTCACTTCCCCTTATTGTGCATGGACCAGAACGTTTCTCCTTCCCAGAAGGATCAGCAGAAAACAGTGTTACTGGAGGTCATGAACAATCCCAGATTAGAAAGAGCAGTTTTCTTTACTAGATCATAGGAGATTGGGAGACATGGGCCCCATTTATCACAGCTCTGATCCACTAGCTTCATTTTTCTTTTCTCAGACAATCACAGACAGCATCTCTGTCACCTGATTTCCATGGAGACTCCCATCAAGTTTAAAAATAAAGCTTGCATAAACTAAGCAAGCAGGAGTAGTCTGATTCCGGTACCAAGTCACTGCTCCTCTTAAATTGAAATGAATAGAAGTAACCAAGTTATCTGGACTCTTAAAAAGAAGTCCTTTCCCATCACTTGAAGAGTGAAAGAGCAAGAATCTGCTACTTGGAAGACAGTTCAGTTCAGCTGGATGACTTTCAAGATTGAATGCTAGTTAATCAAGAGGATGAAACTGTTGAATTTACATAATTTGGAATAAAATGTTTTTGTTCTAAGAAGTTTTTTAAACAGAGACACCTCAGAACTTAGGTGTGTCTCAAACGATAACCAAAGCAAGTGCAGTTTGTACAGCTGATCAAAGATGTCAGCATATTTCATAACAGCAACTAAATGTGCCGTCATCCTCAAAGCTTTGGCTGTAAACTTTGGTTATTTCATGCAAAGAACTAGTCTGATTCGCTCACACCAGAAAACTACACAAAAGGAACTTTCTGTTCCTTACATGGAGACAGGCGCAGCTTTCTCTGCTCCTCTGCGCAGGCCCTGACCCTGTCTGCTCTCAAAAGCCCGATTCTGAGCAAGCAAACGAGCACGCAGTCCATCAAGGAGATTTCCTTCCTGAAAAACTGGTGTGGGATGAAGCTTCTCACTTGGCAGAAGCAAAACACTCAAACATTAGATTTACTGAAGAGATGATTTACACATGCCAAAGTTAACATCTCAGTGCTTTATAATCCTGCTACTCTTGGTATGGCACACCTTGCCACAGAAACGGCACTCCAGTGAACCACAGCATTCTGGTCTAAACCCTCCCTGGGAAGCGCAGTGACAACATTTTTTGTAAAAGAAACTAACGAGCCTGTGATTAGGATACCTCTGTCCTATTTTGATTACATAACTCTGGACTAACTTTAACCTCAAACTCGACAACGTTTGCAGAAGAGTAACGAAGAACTAGAAACAGTCTAATGATTTCAGGAGGCTTCCTGCTTCGCCCGGGCACTGAGATGCAGCCAGACTGAGATACCAGACTACGTACGTAAACTCGCACATGTAACTGGTCCAGTGCTTCAGAGAAGTACAGTGGTCAGATAAGTCATTTTAATCAGAAACCAGAAGCCTTTTAGGTTGGGATTTTGCTACTTTAGGCTTTACACAAAAATAGGAAAAAAACAACAAAAAACAGCAACAGCTCCCTGAGGCAGGGACTTCTCATCTAGCATTGGTCACTCCCACACGCCAGGGCTCCGATTTAGCAGCAGCCCATTAGCCCCTTGTCCAGGTTGAGCTTCAGCCCAGACAAAGCCACAGTAACACTACTGGTCTGAGAAAAAATAAACACCTGCCTCTTGGATGAAGGATTACATGAACTGCAAAGCTAAATAACAAAGCAGCTTAAGATTCATTTTCCACGCCAGCTTGCTTCTGCACAGCCAGGTAGCAGCTACAGCAAAAAGCTCTGGGGAAAGAATCTGCCTAAGGAAGGTCATGGCTACGCAGGATTAAGAGCACTGATAGATGAGCTCTGGCAAATCCTATTGTGGCACTCCGGTAAGATCCGCCTCCACCCTTCAGCTCTGCAAGAAGTTACCCTCTGCCAAGCTGACAGGAGGGGAACGCACTCACATCTTGCCTGCATCAGCATCTTTGCTCACAGCTCAGCATCTCTGCACAAATCCACCTTGGTTAGCAGCGTAAAGCAAGCGCCAGACTGCAGCAGAGCAAGCAAGGCACAGCAGTGGGACAGGCCGACAGCTTGCCATAACATCCAAGAGCATCATCAAGAGCTGCATTCTCTGCACAGCTGCAATAAAAAGCTGCATCAGAAACTTTAAAATACACGACTGCTTGTGCTTTCTGCGCAGCTAAATCCTTCTGTCCCAGTTTTGGGTTTGGAATCCAGGTAGGAATTGAAAAATTCAGAACAACTGTCTCCCTAAAACTCCTTTCTGTACCTTGGTTCTCATCATGCAGAGGTGAGCACAGCAAAAGTTTACAAAGTTCCCCCTACCTTCCTAACCGAGCTTGCAAGTGTCCCCAGCACGTGAAGATTTTTTTAACATGATACAAAGCAAGTTGGATGGAGCTGTGCTCTTTGGATCTCAGATCGTTACAGTAAAGGCAATAGCAGTAAAATACAGCCCCTCAGGAGCAAACAGTTCCTTCAGTTGCGTCTCTTGGCTTCAGACAAGGTAGCAGAATCCTGAAAACTATTTTTCCTCCTAAGTGGTAACAATACCCCGTATCCTAATACACAATCAACAGCCAAGACACACAAGTGATGGAACTGTTTGCTCCTGAGGGGCTGTATTGTACTGCTATTGCCTACAGGGTCAGCCTGTATTTGTTTTTATTCAGACTTCGGAAACGCTTCCAGTATAAGAAATCCGTTTTGCTGAGAAATCATCCCCTCTCAAGTCTCCCTCCCAGATTAGTTTTTGTGTAGCGCGCAAGAAGAGTTCTGCTGCTTTTCTTACCTGCTTCCTTTCCCACCCTCCCTGTGTGATATTTTGCTCACCAACCCTACTCCTCATGCCAAGGGGACAGAGGGGAAGAAAAAACAACTCCAAAGAGGCTGTGGACTGTTTCATCACCATATCATCACCTGCTATTTATGTCTGCTCAGCACAAGCAGGGGGGGGGAAAAAAAAAAAAAAAAATCAATAAAACAGGGTTACTTTCGGTTTCTTTATACCTCACATACTTTATTCCTGCTAAAGATGCACTAGAAGATTTGAAGCTCCCTCAGACTAGTTCAGCTATGGAAAGACTGACTGTTAAAATAATTAAGCCTCGACTTTGGAGAGCCTTAGCAAATTCCAGTGCCCCAGACACCATTAGGTGTTCTTCCCTGCCCACCAAGTCTGAAGCCAGTTTTGTACAGGCACAGCTCTTCATAAGAGGATTTAACTTCACTATTTTTCGACCTGCTACGTAATAAGAAGCGTAGCATGTGTCACACTTGGCTTTCCAGCAGAAGTTTACTTGAACCAAAAGGAGAAGTATGAACTTCACTAGCCTTCACCACAGACTGCTTTACACAAATCCGGATGTCATTCAAGTACTTCCTCTATCTCCATACTGTCATTATGGACTCTGCATATTTAAACCTATTCAACCAAAATGAAGATCTGCGAGTTTTTGGTTTAGGGGCATGAGAGAGCGTCCCGCTATTACAAGCATCAGGATATACTGTAGAATGCGATTTCCTTCTGTTTTTAATCCCTGTTTCTGGGACAGACATAGCCAAATGGATTAAGTTACCTCAATCCAATCTCCTCTTGGAAACGGAAGATGCCATCCTCTGATTTACACTCATGCATGATTAAAAAAATAACTCATTACAAGTTCAACCGCAAGAAAACTGCTAAGACTTACTACCAAAAGCATTGCAATTGCAGTCAAAATTCATTTACATTTATTTCTTTGTGAACATGAACGCTCTGCAGTTTACATATGACAAGAATGAATT